AAGCCTAGCCGTATTATGTTCCTGCTTCTCCTTTTATAGTTCGGGAAAACTCCTGTATTAGGTTTCAAAAAATAGGAGACGTATAAGAGTCCATGCCTTATTAAAAGATATTGAATAAGAGTCCATGCCTAATTAAAATATTGTCATCCTAATCTAATGGGAATTTCCATGTAAAAAAAACTACCAATTAATGACAATAAAATATAAAATATAATTATGGAAATCTTTTCTTTCTTGAAAAATCATACGCACAAGAACTATTGGATAGTGTTGTTCCACAAAAACTCTTTTTAATTAATAAAATAGTTTCCTATATAAAAGAAACAATTAATGACAAATTAAAGAATTTAAGTAAACGAGGAGACTTCCCTTTTGTGTTTCACGGTACGTAGGACTTGTTGCACAAGTCTTTACTCATCCCTCGTTTATTAGAATCCAATTAGATTCTAACAATCTCCCCCTTTGTCATTTATTGATTCTAACATTTTGTCCCCCTGAGTAAATTGCCTGAAAATGAAATAATAGAGGATATAAGGAAACAATTAAACTAAAGATCATCTCCAGCATCAAAAATAAAAGCTCATCATCATAATCTCTTTCAACAACAAGAGTGCCATGAACTGCTGTAATAGCAAGTGCCACAGTTTCAGCAACTGTTCCAGCAGTAGTGGCTTCGGCAGGTGGTTCACAACGGAGTCAGCTCCCCCTGCATGTGTATCTCCCTCTGTGAATGATCCTTAGGCAGCTCCTCTTGTAAATGCATTCATTTTTCCCCTTTGCTTACTCGGCTTGATAGACTTGGAAGGCGGTGGATGACAACGTGGTAAATTATCCACGTGATAAGAGACTCAGCAAATAACGTCGGCATTAGCTCCTCCTTCTATATTCTTGTGAAGCTCTGGAGAAATTAAACAAGGAAACCAATTAATGACAATTACCACAATAATAATAAAACGATGGAATTCCTTCTAGACACGTTCAGGTAATTAATATGGAGAGATACTTTATTTCTTCTCAAATTATCTAATGAGATAACTAAGGAAATTATGTTCCTCATATTAATACACATCTCCATAGAATTCCACTTGGAGTTGTGGACTTAGAATCCCACCGAGATTCTAACACTCTCCCCCTTTGGCATTGATTGGTCAGAACATTTACTCCCCCTAAATATATGATATACGCATGAACAAGGGTCAGCAAATTCAAAATAACGTCTGCAAATGTAAACTGTTGCAGCAGTTTATCAAACAGTTCAGCAGATAATGTACAGTTGTTCAATTAAGCAAATAACAATAAAAAAATAAGCAGTAGCAGAATCAACTTCCCTTTACAATGAATTCCTCCCTATTTGTCATGTATTTCTGCACTATTCCAACAACTGTATGATGCATTGTCTCAACTGTTGTCTGAACTCCCCCTGCATTCCTGCACTGTTCCAGCAACTGTCTGATGCACTGTCGCAACAGTTGTCGGAACTCTCCATGTGTTCATGCCATCGCTGACTGTTCTTAACTCCCCCTGCATTCCTGCACTGTTCCAGCAACTGTCTGATGAACTGTCGCAACAGTTGTCGGAACTCTCCATGTGTTCATGCCATCGCTGACTGTTCTTTTCTCCCCCTTTCTGGGCAATCACCATGCATAGATAACTCAACATGGACTAGTGATCTTGATGTGTCGAGCAATCTGTTCAAACACTTAACAAAAAGATCAAACGAAGAGAGAATCTTGAAAGTAAGTGAGAAGAGTCACCATACACAACTTGCAAACAAAGTCACAAACTCACAACTCAATACCACACGATAATTGTAATGCGAAAATCAAAGGATAGTGATATCAAATCCAACATTAAATAACAAAGACTACAGACTTTGCCAAACATCATACGAAACGTGGAACTGTGAGTTGTAAGCTCAATAGATCCGGCTGCAACAAAAATCAAATTTAACCGGCACATAAACAAAAATCCCGTCTCTCTCTCTCTCTTTTTTTTTTTTTTTTTTTTTTTTTTTTTTTTTTTTTTTAATAATGCCTAATGCAAGACAAGAAGTAAATATGAGAAATAAACATGAGTGAAGAGACATATGTGAATAGAATACTGCATGGACAAACAAAACATATGGGATTTATCTTCACATTCACGATAAGCGCAATCCCCAAAAATCCGACTGCCAATGCAACCAATAAATTTAATAATCCCAAGTCAAACACAAAGATGCTCTTATTAGGTAGCGTACACACACGACAAATGGTAGCTTTTTCCCATGAAAAACAGAGCAATTAAAAGGAATGAGATTATGGTGGTCGTGCAATGTGTAGTCCCCTGGGCTTTCTAATTGAGCCTTGTAGTGAGTGTTCGGTCAAGTGGTTTACTGGCTCGACTCAACTAGGCTTCGAACTATTCACTGACCATATGTATAATTTATATTGGCCGTGCAATGTGTATTCCCCTGGGCTTTCTAATTGAGTCGTGTAGCGAGCTTTCGGCCACGTGATTTACTGACTCGACTCAAAAAGGCTTCGAACTATTCACTGACCAAATGGTTGTAGATATATATATATATATATTAGTAGCAGTAGTTCAAGAGTAGCTTTCACTCATTAAAAGAGGCAGCTTTTCCCTATAAAAACATCCAACCATGACAAGACTATTCAGAGAAATAAATAAGTTGGAGCCTTTTAAGTAATCATTTTGGGAATTGGTGAAGTTCTACCCCCACAAAGTTTAGAAGAACACAAAGTATCAAATTCACATTTGTCTCAATCATATGCAGTATGCTTAATGCAGATCCTATATGAGATGCAAAAACATATGAAGTGTCCTACCACTAAAAGTTGCAAGTCTGGACACACAGACTGTTGCAACAGTTCATGCAACTGCATCAGATTAAGCAACATAAATTCCCAGCGATTTTCGCAAGGAATCAAATCTCTGTGCATCAAGGGTTTTTGCAAAAGCATCAGTTAATTCATTCTCCGTTGCAGCATAATCAATTGAGACAACCCCCTTTTCGACCAAGCCCCTTATGAAACGATGACAAATATCAGTAAGCTTAGTTCTCGAATGCTGAATAGGATTCATCGAATTATTTTTCGCACTCAAATTATCAAAATTCAGAAGATCAAGTTTCTTATGCCCCAATCCAATTTTGTCAACAGAACTGTTGGAACAGTTAGTACTAACATCACACGATTTTAAAGACGTAATGGCAGATAAACAATTAAGATCAGATTTCTTTACCCAGATTTTTTGTTGAGTTTTATTCACTAAATCAACCTTTATCTTGGGTTTTTGCGACGACACAAAAGTGTGATCAATTTTAGCGGAAAGTGGTGAGCGGGCCATTATTCTTTTAACCATTTTCAAGTACTTAAAACACCTGGGTCGTATATGACCAGGAACATGACAAAAATGACAGGTAGGAACAAAAACTTTTCTTTGAAATGGCTGTGTTGGTGCAACTGTCGCAACAGTTTGTGAAACAGTGGATTGTTTAACAAAATTGATTTTTCTTTTTGGATTCTCTTTCTGTTTCAATGAATCATTAGATAGCTGATTACCCCCTATACCTATACGACCATAGTTCGGCTGATTTTTGTTCAGAATTTCATTCAAAGTTACTCTACCAGTATTAAACTTAGAAATAACATCTTGGGTTTGAGCAAATTTAGCCTTCAAGCTATCTATTTCTCTACTAGAAGAAATAACATTTTGTTCAAGAGTAGAAATTCTTACCTTCAACACTTTATTTTCCTCTATGAGAACATGCTTATCATTTTCAAGGCGCTTATTTACCTCAGATACTTCAAGCCACTTCCGGTACATTTTTTCATATACATCTTTCACCTCTTCGAGGGTTGGCTCTTCATCATCACTACTGCTCTCAGATTCACCTGCAAAATTAAATGGTGAAGTCAGACTATTGTCCTTATTTAAAGATAATTCATCATACCTGAAATCTGTCGGACAGACTGTTGCAACAGTTCCCTCGGTTCTGCTCATTGAAGTAGTACCACTGAATGCCATAAAGTTAGTGGTTTGATCTTCTTTGTTGTTCTCATCCTCATCACTGTCCTCTTTATCACTCCAAATAGTGGTGAGTGACATCTTGTTCTTCTTCAAAGTGTTCGCACACTCGGCCTGAATATGTCCAAAACCCCCACACTCTCGACATTGCAATCTCCTAGACTTTGCATCACCAGAATAATTATTATTAGAAAACTTTTTAAATTTGTTAGGGTTAACAGACTTACCTGATTGAGAGGGATTTTCTCTATTTTCAATTTTTTGACGCAGGCTTTCGAGGTTATTTGACATAATTGCTAAGGATTCTTCAACATCAATGTCACACTCATGAAATGTTTGGCCTTGTGAGATGCCATGGGAAGCTTCAGCTTGGAATGCCACATTCTTCACCTTTTTCTTTTCTTGAATATTTGCTCTAAAATTCATTTCTTGGGTTTGCAGTTTACCCATGAGTTCATCTAGCTTTAGCGTATTGATATCTCTCACTTCTTCGATTGCTGCAACTCTGTAAGCGAATCTTTCTGGTAATGAACGTAGTGCCTTTCTTACCAACTTTGTTTCCGAGTATTGTTCACCTAATGCATACGATTCATTTGAAATATCACACAACTTAGCGTGGAAATCAGCAATTGTCTCGTCCTCCTCCATATGAAGACTCTCAAATCTCGTGGCTAACATCTGCAGCTTAGATGTTTTAACAGTTGATGTGCCTTCATACGTCACTTGTAGGATCTCCCATGCCCTTTTTGCTGATTCACACGATGCTATCAGTTTGAACTGATTGTCACCAACGCTACTGAAAATTGAGTTTATCGCCCTTGAGTTGTAATTGGCAAGTAATATCTCTTCATTAGTCCATGCTTCTTCTGGTTTTACTATTTGCATACCATCCGGTCCTTTAGCCATGGGCGGGGTCCAACCAGTCACGATAGCACGCCAAGCTCGTTCATCAACGGACTTGATGAACATCTTCATCTTCGATTTCCAGTAAGAGTAATTTGATCCATCCAAGAGAGGTGGTCGTACTGTAGACGCTCCTTCACGATGAAACATATCTGCACAAAACAAATAAAGAATTAAATCCCAAAATCTCACTAAGTGTATCTAGTGACAGGCTCTTGATGCCAATTGTTAGAATTTATTTCGTACAGATATAAATTATTTGTGTCAGATTCAGTTTTCCGTTACTGTTGCGTGAAGTGTTGCAACAGTTCGTGAAACAGTTCGTAAAAACAGAAATAAACGAGACACAAATTTAATGTGGTTCGGATACAATTGTACCCTACATCCACGAGGACCTGCAAATAAAATTTACTAATTTTTAGTTTTACGAATACAATAGTAGGACTTAATCAAAATACAAAGACTCCCTCTTTGTTGACGCCGTTCTTGTATACTACGCTGAATTATAAATCTTCAATTTTGCAGCACGTCCCTTGCTTCGCACGGTTGAACTCCCTTCAACGCAGAATCCCTCAGTCGGCGGATCGATCTCCTCCCGAGATCTGTTTAAGCCCCTCTCCCGAAGAACCGATCTTCTTTTTGTATAGAAGAAGCAAACTTGTGATACTCCTTGAATCTTGGTGTCTTCACCACAAAGCCTTGAAGCCGATATGTTTTCTATGAAAATCACGTATCACTATTGAGCAATAAAAACGAGAGCAAATAATATTTTCTCTGTGAATTTTTCTCTCGATAAAAAAGACGCTGGAACAACGACAAAGAAAAGAGAAATATTTTTCTCTCCAAAAAAGCCTAGCCGTATTATGTTCCTGCTTCTCCTTTTATAGTTCGGGAAAACTCCTGTATTAGGTTTCAAAAAATAGGAGACGTATAAGAGTCCATGCCTTATTAAAAGATATTGAATAAGAGTCCATGCCTAATTAAAATATTGTCATCCTAATCTAATGGGAATTTCCATGTAAAAAAAACTACCAATTAATGACAATAAAATATAAAATATAATTATGGAAATCTTTTCTTTCTTGAAAAATCATACGCACAAGAACTATTGGATAGTGTTGTTCCACAAAAACTCTTTTTAATTAATAAAATAGTTTCCTATATAAAAGAAACAATTAATGACAAATTAAAGAATTTAAGTAAACGAGGAGACTTCCCTTTTGTGTTTCACGGTACGTAGGACTTGTTGCACAAGTCTTTACTCATCCCTCGTTTATTAGAATCCAATTAGATTCTAACACTAAACACTGTCCACTGTGTATAATTTGACAAGAATTGATAAATTTTAGCTCAACTGCTGGAGTTGCTCTATGTATTTAATTAGAATTTCTTATATATATTGTTACCATTGGAGTGTCACTATTGGTTTTTTTCCTTGTTTCGCGTAGTTTGTATTAAAATTATATTGTAAATGCACGGGTGAAATAGTACTCACCAAAAACAAATGCTTTAACTCGTCGCGGCTCAAGTCAGAATCGCGTTCTTGGATGAGATCAAGAAGTACTTGAAGTAAATCATTTTTCCTAGGAGAATCGGAAGATGAGACGCCCATCGATCGCAACCTTTCACTAGTTATTTGATCGAATGTCGTAAGCAACTTCCCAACATAAGCATCTGATTCGCTCTTAAGGCCTTGTGGATCGATCAACTTAAGGATCGGGAAGTAATCAACAAGGTTAGGGGTCCCTGCAATCGTCATCAGGCCTTTGATAGTGCTCTTCATTTCTTGAGCCGAATCGGAGCCGAAGCGAGAAAAATCAATAGAAAAGAGAGTTGTTGAAATCAAATTTAGGGAGGTCACAATTGCAACCTCCTCAATATCAACAACACGTCTATTACTGCCACATTCGTGCAACTGCTGCAGCTTTTCTTTGCGGAGGCCTTCGCTCGATTGGAGCTTATCCACCGTGAACATGTGCTCTTTGCAAATTCTACGAAATTTACGCCATTTGTTACCCACCGGTAGCCAGGCTAAAGAGCCCTTATGGTGGTTTGCTGCGTGAGTCGTGTGAGCTACCGTCCGGTCGGAGCAAATTTGATCGTGTTTCTGTAGAATTTCTTTTGCCATTTCTTGACCCCACAATTGTTTGTACGGTTCCGAGTTTGAGATACATTAAGGGGCCGTAAGTCTTTGATAGTTTCACGAAAGAGCGGTGGGAGTTTCGTCCGAGTAGGAGAAGGTTGCATATGATCGAAAGAGGAAAAGGCCCCGGCAAAAGCTTCGTGTGCCGGAATTTTGTTACCAAGACATGAGAAAATGCCCAAATGAGTGGGAATAATAGTAGCAAAAGTGTGAGAAAATCCATTGCCTCTTTTTTGTTTTTGTTTTTGGTGTGTGTGTTTCTTTGTGAAATTAAGTTACTTAATCTATGGTTAGTGTTTATATAAAGATGCAAATTATTTATGGTTATGGTCTTGTACAGATGCTTCAATTTTGGTGCAGGAACAATAAAATAAAGTAATATAAATCAGAAATTGAAGTCCATGTGTTCGGTTCATAGTTTTGTTGTCTATCAATATCGTATTTAATGTGCATCAAAATAATTAGGACTCTTGATTAAATAATTACACACTAAACACAAACATGAGTGTGTAATTATATGTAAATTTATAGTTCAAATATATCCTGTATATAGAGCCGATACTGAGGAGAAGCTAGAGATGCCATTGCTTAAGGTCCATTTTAATCTGAGCCTCCAAAATTAAATTAAAAAAAGCCTAATATATTTATATATTTATAGATATATTTTTTTAGTAGAAAACAACATTGCAAACCAAATTTATAAGATAGCGGCCTCAAATTTTAATCTCGCTTAAGGCCCCCGAAACCCTAGAGCCGACTCTGTCCGTATAAATAACCAGGTGTAGCATCTTAATTCCTCTTTAAGAAGTTAACACAAACCAAATAATTAGGCAAGGATTGCTATAGAAAGGAAACCACATAATGCGTGAGTATTGCAAGTCGGGACAAAAATCGAATTAGTTGGCAAATATATGTTTCAATTTCAATCCTATTTAAAGCCTTGGAATTTTTTTATTTCTTTTTTTGAATTAGAATTTTCCGTTTGCCAAGCCGAAAATCTGTGAGAGCAAACTAAAATTAAAATCTGTGATAACTGATAAGTAATGGCTATGAATTTGTTTCAAGTTTTGAAAATTTAAAAGCAATAACATCTTAATTTTTCTTTTAATGTGACGGATGGAAATTAAAGATTAGCCTAACCCAATTAATTAAGACTGGTTTTGGACTTCAGCAAGTTTGGGTATAAGCTTATATTCCAAACTTATATTCATAACCCGTAGAAATCGTAGTAATCCGTAGTAATCTATAGACATCTTGAAACTCTAACTCCTCTCAACCCTAGTCGTCAGACACCATAGACACCTTTAAACACTTATAGACATCTGTAGACATATAAATCGAAAAATCTTAAAGCTTCCCCAACAAACCCTAAATCCGATCCGCCGCCACCACCACCACCGCCACTACTTCCCCTCTCCACCCCCCACACCCAGACCCACCTTCATGATTCATCCCCTTTGGTTGCAAGCAAACAACGAGCCTACCATCACAGAGTTTCCCGATGCAACCCCTACAACGAGCGTCGCCATAGCCGTCGTCGCCCACCATAGGCGCCGCCATCTACCATAACCACCATCATAGCCTTCATTATTTCACTACAATTGAAAAGAAAAAAAAATGGGGGGGGGGGGGCGAGAGAGGGAGAGAGAGAACAAACCAGAACGTGAATATGTTGAGGGACAATGTCGAGTGGCGTGAGAAAGAGGAGGGGGAGAGAGAGAAAGAAATAAGAAAAAAATAAGAAATACTTGACTTGTATTAGGTATTTTAAGGGTATTTTTGGGTTAAATAAAAATTAAAGGATGTGTATCATTACTTTAAAATAGGGATATAGTTAAAATATTTTATTTGAGTTTGTCACTCGTATCTAATTAATATAATTAAGTTTGATTTGAGGGTGTGAGGCATTTTAACCATGTGTGTGTATGTTACTTACAAATGTCAATGAATTCTAATAAACGTGTGATCCAATTATGTTAATTAATCAACCTCGTTAGAATTTTTAACAATCAATTTTGAATCCTAAGTATCATTTAAAAAAAATTCAAACCTAATGTATACTCCTTCCGTTTCGTTCCACTTTAATTGTCGTTTCTTAATTTTGCACAAAGATTAAGAATTTCATTAAATGTGTCTTGATTTTAGGAAAATGTATGTTTTTAGACTAAAATGAACTTATCTTATAATTCATAAGTGAGAGAAAAATTAGTTAAAAAAAAAGACTGGAAATAGTTAATAAAGGTATAAACTGGAAATTAAATAATAAATGAAGTGTTGGAAATTTAAAGTGACAGATAATATGGACAAAAAAAAATTCAAAGTGACAATATTATGGAACGCATGGAGTATTTTGTATAATATTGATGGATCCACGCCCAAAGGCCTATATCGACAAGTCCATAGAGGCATACAAATCAAGCTCAAATCGACTAAAGATAATAATACAAGTTCAAGTTGTGTAAGACCCAAACTGGCATGATCTAAACAGTTAGGCCCAAGTCGACCCATATTAAGTGACTTAGGCTCATGTGAATATATAACCTCATATAAATACCCGAAAACCTTGCAATTTAGCAATTAAAGGTACGCAATTCATAACTCTCGAGCAGTCTCTTGAATTTTCTGAATTCTTCTTTAAAATAAAGTTTACTTGAGTGTCGGAGGATTTTTTCCGGGACAAATCCCGACGCCCTAACGAATTTTCGTGATATAGGTAGTGGGAATCGTACCACATCAATTATATTTTTTTTTTATTTGATTGTGACGAGAATGATTGATTATTCACTCAAATGACAAAGAACAAACACTAAACAATTAGTAATATTAAATCAAGACAAATTAATTACTAAGACTTCATTTATTGATAGATTCTTTATAAGGAATTCAAATATGCCTGCAGAACAAATAGACACTTCAAACACCAAGACAAAACATAGATTAATTAATTGATTGATTTTTTATTTTTTTTACTTCAACCTTTTTTTGCTCTGTTGTATTTCGATTCTTAGAGGTTGATGATTATTTATAGTGGTGGATTTAGCCTTTTCAGGTGTCTCTAATTACAAGTGTGATGAAAATTTAATTCATCAAAGGTCATGAATTTTGGCTTTGTTGTTCCCAAATACAGTAAAATTTTGATAAATTAATATAAATCGCTTAAATAATAATTTCTCTCATTGGTGAGTCTGTGAGAACGGGTTAGATTATTAACTCAATATATTAATATTTTCTTAATTTCGACTGCATTAATTTATAGAGATTTAACTATTATAGAATATATATATTCAAGGTACAATCCTTTTTTAATACTTATGTATTCAGCACAGTTCTTAATCCCAGTCTTATAAATCATCATGTACTTTTCGGATGAGGCTTTGTATGAATATGTCGTTTTTTAAGCTCATTAAACAAGTCCACATTTAATATATTTTTCTAAACAATTGCATTCATCAATTTTACTTTCTTGATTTATTGTGTTTGTCTGTTTCAGGAACACGATAGATAATTGCAAACGGAAAAATCTGAAATAGGAGTTATATAGAAATCCAAACCAAAATTTTAGACGTCGTTTCAATTTTTTCAATTTTTTAATACTGTTTTGACTTCGAGCGTGATGTTGACCCTTAAATCGTCTCATTTTGACAAACTTTAAAGCACGAAAATTATAGTCATTTGAGTTAACTTTCTATCGAACTTGAATCAATTAGATTGGATGTTGTGTGACAAAGTTATGCAGAAATGAGCTACATTTTGATTTTAGATAACTCAATACATAAAAATTGTGGGTCGTGTTCATATCTTTATCACTCGACATTTTAATTTCGGTTCAAGTTGGATTAGAGAGTTCACACAAAGAACTACAAGTTCCGCATTTTGCGTTTTATCAAATTAAACTGAAAATAGTCAAAATCACGTTTAAAGTTGAAATAATATTATTAAAGCTGAAATGGCAAAATCACGTTTATCATTTCCCAAATCGAAATGAAGAAATTTGTTCTAAAACAGAAATTAAAAGGGTAAATGGCAAATAGGTCCATGACATGAGCATTTAATTAAAGGGAAAATTTGCAATAACCCCCTCATCTAGGAAATGTAGTTAAGGAAAACCCTCCTCCCAAAAATAATTAGAGAAACCCCATTTTGTTATTAGCTTGGATAATTAATAAATGTAATCTCCCAATTGTACCCTTACTCCTAACCCTAAATTTTAACATGTCATCTTACGCGACGCCGTTGTTTTTCTTTTCGTTTTCTCTCTTCTCTTCTCTCTGCTCTATTCTCTCTTATCTCTTCTCTCTCTCTCTCTCTCTCTCTCTCTCTCTCTCTCTCTCTCTCTCTCTCTCTCTCTCTCTCTCTCTCTCTCTCTCTCTCTCTCTCTCAATCTCTCTCTCTTCTTCTCAATCTCTCTCTCTCTCTTTTCTTCTCAATCTGCTTATTCTCTGCTCAATCAGAATTCGGCCGGTGTCGTTAAATACTGCTCCGACGAATTGGCCGACATATTGGGTGAAGAACAGCTGCATCCATCAAATTAGACACAATCCTTCTCTCGCTCTGGATTGAACGAGAATGAGCCTTCCCATTTGAAATATTTGTGGCAGGTTTTCCAAGGGTGAACAACCATCCATCACTATGACCAATTCCAGCCCCAACTGCTTTTGTCGGGTTCGAAACCAGCTAGTGTTACCTGCTGCATTGATCCTGCTTCCCATTGCATTAAAGCAATTATAGATCAACTATGATTTTTGTCTATTTTATTGGTAAATAATAATCTTTTGCGACTGCGTTGGATGCAGATGTGTGGTGTGGCGACGTTGTGGTGATGTTGGGGAGGCAGGTCTAGGGTTTTTTGGTGATCGACCGGAGGATGGTGCGTGTAGAGAAATTCGCGCAAACTGGAACCTTAATCAACTATGTACATATTCTATAGTCGGTTAAGCTAATCGGCTATGCTCTGATAGTCGATTAAAGTTGATCGGCTCCAATTT